ATTTATACCTCTTTTTTTTTTAAGATTTGATTTATTTATTTTTATTGAGGGGGAAGGGAGGGAGAAAGAAAGGGAGAGAAATATCAGTGTGGAAGAGAGAAACATCCCTGGCCCACAACCTAGGCGTGTACCCTGACAGGGAATCAAACTGGCAACCTTTTGGTTTGTGGGATGATACCCAACCCACTGAGCCACACCAGTCAGGGCTATACCTCTTGATTATTTATTTTTTATTGGTTGCCTTAGTTTTACATCTTTAATTAATCATAGTCTAATTTAAGTAGTATTACATAATTTCATGTATAAGAACCCAACAACAGTGTTGGGTTCTCAATTCTTCCTTCCTATCTTTGTATTAGTGTTGTTATACATTTTACTTTTACATGTGCTATAAATCCACAGTGCACTCCTACTCTTTATTGCTTTAGGCAGTCAATTATATTCTAAAGCAATTAAAAAATAAACAAAAGCTAAGTATTGTAAAAAAAAATTTACCTTAGATTATTTGATATTTTCCAACTCTTAGAGGCTTTATTCTTTTTTTTTAAATAATTTTTTAAAGATTTTATTTATTTATTTTTAGAGAGAGGGGAAGGGAGGGAGACAGAGAGGGAGAGAAACATCGATGTTTGAGAGAAACATCCATCTGTTGCCTCTTACACGCCTCCAACTGGGGACCTGGCCTGCAACCCAGGCAATGTGCCCTGACTGGGAATTGAACTGGTGACCTTTGGTCCTCAGGCTGGCACTCAGTCTACTGAGCCACACCAGCCATGGCTGAAGGCTTTATTCTATTTTATTTTTTCACTTTTAACCATTTGATTCTTAGTTTTCATTTCTCTGCTGAAATTCCACACTGTTCCTGAAAGCTGTCCAGCTTTTTCATTAGAACATTAAACATATTAATTGTTAACCTAAAAATAAAAGGCCAATGTGAGAGACAACAGGCATTTGAGATCCAAAACAATAGTGCTGATTCAGACAGAGAGGATTAGGAAATAAAGGCAAGAGGTGTTTATGAGAAGGGGAAGGGGAATTATGACATGAAGAGAAGGAAGAAATTTTTATGGGTGTTAATAAGCTAAGGAAGGAATTTTTATAGGTGCTGATAAGCTTATATAGTAGTGTTAATACTAAAGAATGTCTTTAAAAAGATTTTTAAAAATATAATACAGATAAAAAAAGAAAAAAAGAATGTCTTTAGCCCTGGCTGGTGTGGCTTATTTGGTTGGACATTGTCCTGCAGACCTAAAGGTTGCCAGTTTGATTCCTGGTCAGGGCACACGCTTGTGTTGCAAGTTCAGATCCCAGTCAGGGCACATGCAGGAGGCAACTGATTGATAGTGCCTCTCTTACACTGATGTTTCTCCCCCTCTCTTTCTCCCTCTCTTTCTCCCTCTCTTTCCCTCTCATAAAATAAATAAATAAATAAATAATAAATTTCAGGCCCAGTCCAAAGGTTATTTTACCCAGTCTAACATTCCAAAGATTTAAGGGGTAAGATGTGCAAGGCAGTTCCTCTGGGATGGGAGCGCCTACCCTATGTTAAAGTGACTTCTTTTATATTATTTTTCACATAATCATGGTTATTTTTAATTCCCCATTGATAATTTCAATATCCAGGTCCTCTCTAAGTCTTATCCTATTGATTACTTTGCCTCTTGAAAGTGGGTTTTATTTTATGTATTTATTTCTTTGCTTGTGATTTGTTATTGTCTGCCAGATGTAGTATATTGAATAGTAGAGACTGAGATACATAGCATTAATTCTGGGAAATGAGTATACCTCTTCTTTCACTAGGCTGTTAGTGTAGAAGTTTGAGCCAGCTGTGTTTGGGTTTTGTTGTTGCTATGGTTACCTTTTGTGTACCAAAGTCTTCCTACAGCTTAGGGCTGGTTTGCCAGAGGGAGGATTTTTCCTGTACTTATGCTCTACCACCTTTACCTTTAGGCCTTTTTGTGCCTAAACCTCAAGGCACAGTCTCCCACAGTATTGTTGCTGGGTACTTCCTAAACCGGTGGTGGGAAGCAGCGGGTTCACTATTGTTTTAGTTCAGCCTCAGTCTTAGGCAGGCCCCCTTTCCCTGGGTCTGGGTGTGTGTGGATATTTCTGGGTGATCCTGCCGTTCACCCACAGGTAGGACACCTCTAAGGGTCGTGTGATCAGAATTTCCTGTCCCAGCTTCTTTGGGAGTGACAGAGTTTGCTCTCCTTTCCCCAGGGGTTTAAGATTTTTATTCTTTAGAGAAAGGACCACGCACACCTTTGAATTTTTCCCAGAGTAGTGACTACTTTCTCTAGGCTAGCACTACTGCGAGGCTTTCTCTGGTCCCCACCTAGTGTTTTTTATGAGCTGACGTCTGTGGAGAAAAACCTCAGAACGTCTATGACTCTTGCTAACCCACACTTGACCTTTAGTAATTCATTACAAATTTTATCTGAATTATCCTCCCTCTGCCGCAAGTGAGCCAGAGCTTGCATCTGTCCTTGGAGGTGCTTATTTTTCCTTAAATTTCAGTCTGGTTGCTTGTCCTGTAACCTCAGTTCTCTGATGGCTTCAGGGAAAGTTTATGGTTTTGTAGATTATTTAACTTTTTCTTGTTATAGGAGTGGGAGTGAAGCTTTTCACAGCTTTCTACATCCTAAATGGAAGTTGGAAGTTGAGGAGATCCCATTTTATACCAGATTTAATTTTCCTGTGAAATGAACTTAACTCTTTTTTTCTCCTCTCTGTGGTAATGGTAATTGTAATTAAATATATATTTCATCTTTGTCCACTGTTTATGGCACACAGCTCCTGTAATTTCATATATAAGAGCCATAGGGACTTTTTTTGTTATAATATTTAGTTTTGTTTCGGAAGTAGCTCCAGAGCAATAAAGGTGAAATGAAATGGATTTCAATTATAGCCCCTTTCAACCTGCTGGAGTTTATGTTAATCAGATGATTTTTGGAAAGCAGCTAAATCCTCCTAGGATGGAGGCCTATTGCCAAGAAACCAACCTTGTGATTAGAGTTGGAACTTTCAGACCAGTCCCAACCTCTGGGGAGGGGAGAGGAGTTGGAGGTTGAATCAATCACCCATGGTCAGTGACTTAATCATTCATACCTTTGTATTTAAGGCTCTGTAAATAAATCCCAAAAGGTGGGGTTTGGAGATCTTCTGGGCTGTTGAACACATGGAGGTGCTGGGAGAGAGGTGCACCCAGAGAGAGCAGGGACACTCGAAGTCCCCTTCCACATGCCTTGCTCTGTACCTCTCTTCCCTCTAGCTGTTCCTGAGTTATAAAACCTTTTATAATGAACTGGTAATCTCATAAGTTTTCCTTAATTCAGTGAGCTGCTTTAGCAAATTAATTAAACTTAAAAAGGGGGTAGTTGGAACCCCCTATTTATAGCCAGTCAGTCAAAAGCACTGGTCACAACCTGGACTTGGCGATTGGCATCTGAAGTGGTGGTGAAGGGGCAGTTTTGGGGGACTGAGCCCTTAAGCTGTGGGATCTGACACTATCCCTGGGTAGATAGTGTCAGAATTTAGTTAAATTGTAGGGCACCCAGCTGGTGTTGCAGAATGTTTGCTGCGGAAAAACCCACACATCTGGTGTCAGAAGTTCAAAAACAATACCTGGTTGATCCCCGCCCCCCCCCGCCCCCCTCCCCCAGCAAGGGTCTGATTTAATAGGAGGAGGCCAGAGTGGTCACTGGGGCCAGTTTTTCTGTTTGCCTGTGTTGAGCTGAGTGAAAAAGAACAGCCCAGTTCTCTCTGCTTCTGACTCATGTGAGAATACAGGCTCCTCAGCTACTTCCTTGTTTTGTTTTCATGGCTGCCTGGGTTCACCTGACAGACATATGAAAACAAATATGTCCCCGTGTGCCTGCATAGGGAACCCTGCAGGCCTGATGCCAGGAGGGAAAAGAAAGTGGTGCCACCTCCCAGCGAGGCCTCATTCAAGCAGAGGCAGGCTGGCTCAACTCCCCTGGGAACGAGGGAAGGCTTCCTAGTGCCCCAGACAAGTTCTTTTCACTTCGGTTCGGGTCTGGACTCAGGAAGGGCACTGAGACAGGTAAGGCAGGAGTTTGGAGTGAGGCTGTGGAGATTGGGGTTTTCCCTGAGAACTGCTCACTCCTCAGGGGTCCTGGGTCTCTTGCGTCAGCTCTGTGAGGCAAGGTTCCAGCACATCCATTTTTGAGATGAGAGGCTTCTGAGAAGATAACGTACTGATTGATCCCATTTTTATCCTTGGACGTTGTCTCTGCGCCCTTAAAGGACTGACTCCTGGGTGGGAATCAAATGGCCTACCAGATTCCTTTCTTCGGAAGACGAGTGAGGAATAGAGAGTCTGAATTCCTGACTCCCGGGGCACAGGCATTGAGGGAGGGAGAGGGCCATGCTGCGGGGAGGGTCAGGAAGGTGCTTGGCTTCCTCTGACAGAGCCTGGGTCCTTTGTAGGTGGGTTGGTGTGGAATCCAACTTCCTTGAGGTTTCTGGACTGGCCCAACTCGAATCCAAAGGTGATGGTGTGTGTGAGCGCACTTGAGTGTGCACCATCTCTCCTCAGGGTGCCTCCAAAACCAGATTTGTGCATAAGAGGAACCTTATAGCTTTGATGGGGGTGTCAAGACTCCTGGCTCCTATTCTGGGAGAATCTCTTTGCAACCGCAGGTGGTAGCGAGGGGTGTGCTGAGGAGGAGAACGAATAAACCAATAGCGGATGGGCCCCAGGTTACAGTGCCCTCTGGATGTTCTTTCTCCATCTGTTTTTACTCTGTTAGCCCTCTCTGGGCACTTTGGAAAAAGAAAGGTGTTGAATGGGCATGTAGCAATGTAGGAAGTAAGGTGGGTATTTTGAAAATAACGACACATGGGTATGTATTTTCTTTCTTTTTTGAAAAAGATTTTATTTATTTATTTTTAGAGCTGCGGGGATGGGGGGAGAAAGAGAGGGAGAGATACACCCATGTGTAAGAGAAACATCGATCATTTGCCTCTTGCATGTGCTCCAGCTGGGGACCTGACACACAGCCCAGGCATATGCCCTGACTGGGAACCCAACTGGTGACCTCTCACCTTGTGGGACGATGCTCAACCAACTGAGCCATGCCAGTCAGGGCAGGGTGTGTATTTTCATGAAGGTTTTCTCCTTGATCCAGTCTCTGCAATAGTATCATGCCCTTATCTTAGCATCTCCCTAGCCCTTCCCACCACCTGCTCATGTTCTTTGCCAGCCTGATAGAAGCTACAGTCCTTTCCACATGTGGCCGAACAGTGCAGAAGTCCCTGTTTATGTTTGGGTGGAGGTGAGTGGGTAGGATTACCTGGGTATAGACAATGAGAAGACATTCAGGCTGGCTAAGGCTGTGAACCTGATGCTGGGACTCTGGTCTTTTCTGTGGGGCAGGTTTGCATTTTTTTTAAGCTGGTAAGAACACAGCAAAAACTCTATCTCAAGCAAAATCCACGCTGTGGATAAACCCCGTGCCAGCCTACCATGGGCATGAAGCCAGGTAGGTACCTCTTGTTGGAAGTTGCCTTCATGTTGTGCCTGAGCTCTTATGGAGTCTTTCTTGGGAGCTGTGGCGGTCTGCCTACCTCCATTTCCCTGAGTCCTGTGGTGGAAACTGAGACAGGTTCATTGTATTTAGGTCTGTGCATGAGGCATGCTGTTCCTGCATAAGAGGTGGGCAGGGAAATCTGCCTGCCTTGCAGGTCTAAACTAGAGCTTCCCCAGATCCTGCCTTAGACTGACATACTTATATTCTTTGCCAGGCTGTAGTAAACACAGGTGTGAAGGAAACATTTGCCATGGAAGCCAAGGAGCTGGAGAGCCAGGCGTCTGCATATCATTTCATTCCTGAGGCCGGCCAGCCCAGGGAGGAAGATGACAACATGCCACCTCAAGGGACCACAGAAACTATGCAGCTGAAGAAGGAGATCTCTCTGCTGAATGGCATCAGCTTGGTGGTGGGCAATATGATCGGCTCAGGAATCTTTGTTTCACCCAAGGGTGTTCTGGCATACACGACTTCCTATGGGTTGTCACTGGTCATATGGGCCATTGGTGGGCTTTTCTCCGTTGTGGGTGCCCTTTGCTATGCAGAACTGGGGACCACCATCACCAAGTCTGGGGCCAGCTATGCCTATATTCTAGAGGCTTTTGGGGGCTTCATTGCCTTCATTCGTCTGTGGGCCTCCCTGTTAATTGTTGAGCCCACCAGTCAGGCCATCATCGCCATCACCTTCGCCAACTACATCATCCAGCCCTCCTTTCCTACCTGTGATCCCCCGTACCTGGCCTGCCGTCTCCTCGCTGCTGCTTGCATATGTGAGTGTTGGGCTAAGTGGGGGAGTATTAGCGGGGGTGTGGGTTACCTTAATAATGCTAGTAATACCTTATATTGAACAATATATTTTGCTTTCCGGGAGGAAAAGAGGTAAATCTTTTCAAGAAGTAATTTCACCAAAGTCATTTGGTCCAGAGATAAGGGCGAAGGATGGGTGGGGGAGAAGTTTGAATCTGTTTGTGGCTTTTGATGCCTCACATTCCTTTTATTCTTGGCTGTCCCTGAGTTCTGTTCCCCAGTCTATGTGACAGGTTGCTGCATGTCTTATATTTGTCTCGTAATGTGTTTTGATTGGAGTCAACATTATTAGTTGTAACTTAACCAGAAAAAAATCGTAAGGGCTGAAGCCTTTATTATGTTGCTCAAAAGAAAAAAAAAAAAAGCTGTTTTGCTTCCCAGCTTTTTATCTTAAACCAGTTTAAAGGCACCAGTGAGGAAATGGGCTTCTCTAGATTATGGGGTTCCCAAGGCGCTATCCTTCAGGCCCACAGGACCACAGGGCCACTTCTTCCTGTCACCCTCACAGTCTGTTCTAAGCAGCAGGCACCACACCAAAATGGCTTTTTCCCATTGGTGTTTCAGATTTCTTTACACTGACTTCGTAAACAAGCTCTACCTGGGGCCAGTGAGAGGAAGGTGGGTGGCTTCTACCCCATATTTGGGTTTCTGTGGACCCCTCTTTATTTTCATTTTTCTCTTATGAGGTGGTAAGGAGGGACTCTGTGTGAAGTCACTGAAAGGGAGAGAGGATTGCTGTGAATTTAGCCAGTGATATAGAGCTAATGTTTTATTTAGCTAAGAGGGGGCCCAGAATTCCCTGCATTCCTTAGTGCTGTGTTGCCAGAGGCACTTAATTGTACTCTGTTCTTTCCATATCTCTGCCTGCAAAACCTTTGGCAGAATATGTAGTTTGTCTACAATGTTAAAAATAGACTAAGAACACTGGGGAGTTAGCAGAGCAGTAGAGGACTGTACAGTACACTGCCTCCTAACTTTAAGTAACTTGTTAAAGACAAATGTTAAACGAAATCCCTCCCCAGATGCCCCTGGGAAGAGGGAAGGAGGTTACTCAGTTGTGTATCTGATAGGGTTTGGTTGGGGGACTCTGGCCTGACTGAGCTCTCTAAAAAAGGGAAGGTTTTCTGATTATAAAACATATTCATCAAGGAGGAAATTAACTTTACTTCAAATCATCCTTTATCTACCACCAAGAGATGAGGACTTTTTTTAAAAACTAACAGCCCGTCTTTTTTTTAAGATTGAAGATTTTATTTATTTATTTATTTATTTATTTATTTATTTATTTATTTAGAGGTGAAGGGAGGGAGAAAGAGAGGGAGATGTGAGAGAGATACATTGATTGGTTGCCTCTTGCAGGCCCCCAACCTGGGGCCTGGTCTGCAACCCAGGAATGTGCCCTGACCAGGAATCAAAGCAGTGACCTTTTAGCTTGTCAGGCTGGCACTCAATCCACTGAGCTATACCAGCCAGGGTGAGATGAGGACTTTTAATAGTTCAATTTGTCTTCATGTCTCCCTTTTATAGAATTGGTGTCATACTTTCCATATAACTTTATATTCTGCTTTTTATCATGGGTTTCCCCCCCTTTTTGGGGGAACGTTGTTCAAAGAAAACATTTTTTGAAGTAGTATGTGTTTATTTTTTTTAAATCCCTGCCCAGGTATTGAACCTGCAACCCTTTGGTGCACTGGATGACACTCCAACCAACCAAGCCACACTGGCCAGGGCCTGCTGTTTCTTTCTTTTTTTTTTTTTTTTTTTACAATAATTTGTAACCCCGAGGGTTGAGGGGTTGCCAGTTTGGTTCTGGTTGGGGCACATGCCTGGGTTTTGGGTCAGGGCCCTGGTTAGGGGTATGTCAGAGGCAACCAGTCATGTTTCTCTCCCTCTTTTTCTCCCTTCCCCATCTTTAAAAATAAATAAATAATCTTTTAAAAAGTAACAGACTATAGAGCCAATTTGAAAAATGCAAAGATTAGAAAAAAAGAAAATTAAAATCACCCATAATTTTACCTCCCAGAGAACAATTGTTCTATTTATGTGAGAAATCTTCCAATATTTTTCTTCTGAGCATATTTATAATTTTATGGGGATGTAAAGTGCAGGATGAGGAATGATAACTATGTATGTTGCCAATTGGGTACTGGAAATATCTGGGGAAACACTTCGTAAAGTATATGATGGTCTAACCAATATGCTGTATACCTGAAACTAATACAAAATAATATTGATTGTAAACTGTAAATGAAAAAAAGTAAAAGTTTTTATATCTTCACCTGAGAACATTTTTTTTCCCTTTGCTTTTAAAAGAAAGAGGACTGGAGAGAGGAGCATCGATTGGTTGCCTCTTATACACACCTAGGGATCCTATGTGTCTGGGATACAGGGTCACTTGTGCCTCTGCCTGGATTGTAGGTTGAACCTACAACCTAGGTATGTGTCCTGACCGGGAATTGAACCTGCAGCCCTTTGGTTACAGGACAACGCTCCAACCAACTGAACCACACTGGTCAGGGCTAATTGAAAAAGTTTTTAAAAAATTAAAAACAAAACAAAACAAAACAAACAAAAATATTCCTAGAAAACATGGCTTGGGGACACAGAAGTTGTTTCCTGGCTGTGTGGTACAGTGGGTTAAGGTCACAGGCTCCTAGGCCCTGGCCAGGTAGCTCAGTTGGTTAGAGTGTCATCCTGATGGGCCAAGGTTGCATGTTTGATCTCTGGTTAGGGCACATACAAGAAGCAAAAAATGCATGTATATATAATTGGAACAACAAATTGATCTCTCTCTCTCTCTCTCTCTCCAATAAATTAAAAAAAAAAAAAAATCACAGGCTCCCATGCAGACTGGTTTGTTTCCATCTTTACCATTGAGTAGCTGCTGACTTTGGAGGAGTTTGTTAACTCTTGCCTCTGTTTTATCATTTGTGAAATGGGAATAGTGATTGTACTTATCTGAAGAGACTTTTATAAGGAATAAGTGAATCAATACATGGACTTCTCTGGCATATAGTAAGTGCAGTCTCGTGTTCTAAATAATGCTGTTGTAGGGATCTTATGTGTAAATCATTTTTAGAGTTTCTGCATATTTTATTTAATCTTTATTGTATTTTTTTCCATTACCATTTAGTCCTCTTATACCTCTGTCTCCCCTGAATATTTTCTTAGCATAGAATTATACAGCATAGGGGAAAAGTAGGTTTACAGTTATGAGTACATGAAACACAGTTTCTTTGGTATTTTAATTAATTATTGTATTATTTTCCATACAGACAACTGTAAACCTGCTTTTGCCCTACCCCATACAAAGGACATCCCTGTGTCTAAAGGAAGAAACTGTTTTAGGTTCTTTATATGTTACCCAGTTGCTTTCTAGAGGTTTTGTGAGTTTGTACTCTTTTCTGAGCACCTGAGAGGACCTATGCATTGTGCCTGTGTTGGCCTGAGGGTGAATTCCAAGCATAACTAAGTCAAAGGGCACCTCTGTCTATAATTTTTTCTTATGCAGAATATTTTTATTTGTTAATCTTCTTTTCTTTACGATTTCTCACATTGTTTTTGTGCTTAGGAAGCCCATCCCTACATGACAGTCTTTTGCTTGGAAGAGAGACCTCACCTCTTAGAAATGCGAAGTCACAGCTTCTCTCATTCAAATGTATTTATACCCAGATTTCACATAATCTGAATTCCAGCAAGCCTTCTGTCCCAGAAGCCCAGGTTTTTCTATCATGTAGTCCTGAAGGCAGGAACTTGTTAGAGATTGGGCCAAGTCATAAAACTATGTTCCATCCTAACTGACTAGGCTTCAGGGTTCAGCTTACATTTCTTCTTGGAAGGTGTAGAATCAGATTGATGGATCATCCAGCAAAGCCGTGATGTGACGGAGGGAGTCTCCTCGGGCAGGGCTGGCAATAAGAGCAGCTTGAGTTCAAGAGACACAAATTGGAAGAAGCCAAGGAGGTCATAATTAGGGAAAAACCAAAGATCTGCACTGAACCCAGGGTGAGACTTGGGTAGGATAAGGAGGACTAAATTAGTCTTGAAACAGAGGCATGAGATGGGCCCAAGTTGTTGGTTGGGAGGCTGCCCAAAGAAGTTATAAGCATGACAGGCTCTACGGCTAGTGTTCCATTCTAGAAGAAAGGGCGCAGACGGTCTCCATATAACCAGTTCCAGGGCAGAGCTGCAAACTCTGGTCCAGACTTGGCCCACAGATATATTTGTCGGGCCTGCACAGTGTCTAAACATTTTTAAATTACTTGCCAACATTTGAAAATCAGGACTTGTCCTTTCTCTTGAAAAATCAAAATTTCTAAAAACTTTGGGCCCAATTCCTGCCAGACACAGTCAGCTGCATTTCAATAGTGGTTGCTCCTTTTAAATGGAACATTAATAGTTCCCTGTCCATTCTGTCGTCCAGTCCCCCTGTTTTACACCCAGACATGCTTGCCATTGCTCATTTGTATTACTCTCGTGGCCCCCAAAGATGCTGCTGTTTTAGATGCTGGTTTTCTAGCTGCACCCCCGACCCCCATTCCTAGGTTACGCTTGGCAGGGAGATCCAAGAAGCAAGTTTTGGATTTCAGGCTGCTTTAGCTACTCATTATCCTAGAGCAGTGGTCCTCAACCAGACGTGAGCCACTTGGTTATGTCTGGAGTCATTTTTGGTTGTCACAGCTGTTGGGAAGGGGTGCCGCTGGCTGCTAACAGGTAGAGGCCAGGAGTGCTGCTGGGTGTCCTGTAATGCACAGGACAGCCCCTCACAACACTTACCTGGCCCAAAATGTCAGGAGTGCTGAGGCTGAGAATCTGTTCTAAATGTGCATTCTGCTCATATATATTCTGGGATCTTGGACTCAGTGGTGGGTGGGACCTCAAGCTGCTGACTGAACTCGGTATACTTACGGACTCTCAGTCACTTATGGGACTGTAGGGGAAAATGGCAGTTGTTGAGGTGCATAGGTCCCCTCTGTGGCCAAGTGCCCACCACTGTACAAGTACTTCATTTGACTGCAGAAGTATATGTTTTTGGCTTAGGTCTTGCCAGAATGTTTATTGTTGTGGGGTCCTGCTTTTTATGTGGCCTCACTTACACTATTATTGGTAAGTATTTGCAGTGAAGGTTTCAACATGGAAGTCAGTTCAGCACTGACATATCAGCATCAAAGCAGAGGGCTGCTCACACCTGAGACCGAAGAGGAGGAGGAGGAAGGGGAGAAATATTGTCAAGGCTGGGGCTGGAGTGAAGAAACACTGTGCTACCCGAATAGCTTTCTGTTGTCTTTTGCTGTCTTGAACTCAGGCCTGGACAGGGTTCTGAGCAGGTGGTATGCCCCTGTTTGGGTCAGTCACTGCCGTGGGTAGACAGTTTTCATGTTCTGACAGTGACAGGCCTAGAGGGGATTAGGTCCTGACCATAGTTGTTCAAAGGCCTTGTACTCTAACCCTACATATAGGTTGAAAGTTTTGATACTAAGATTAAATTGTGGATATTTGTGTAGTTAAAAACAAAGAGGTTTTTAAAAAGGCACATACAGTACATAGTCATACATATCCCAAGAGGTAGCTCCTGATTACGGGATCTCCATGTGGAAGAGTTTGCCTCTCCTGCCATAGAACATGTCTCTCCTAATAGACTTGTAGGTAGCCACCCCCCCCGCCCCCACACACACCTTTTTCCTTTTCCTACCTTCTTGTTAAGGATTACTGTCCTCTGTCCTTGAATAACCCCTTAGTAATGCCACGCTTGTTTTGTGGGAGGAGTTGGAAGGGTTCCTTCCTCTCCCTGTTGCTTTAGGAAAAGGATGTGTGACTCTCTGCATAACCAGGACCACAGCTTCTGGTTGCCAGGCAACTCCTCCTCAGGGAGTATGAGAGGTGCAGGTCTTTCTGGGGGGCACATGCATTATTCAGGGTTAGATTGTGTTTCAAACAACTGTTGACCAAAAGCAGCATGGCTCACACATATTGAAATGTATTTCCTCACATGTTAAGAGTAGACAGGGTGGGGCTTGTAGGATGACTTCATAATTCTTCAGGGAGCCAGGTTTCTTTCTGCTGCCTTAGTGCCCTGCCATCCACAGCATGTGACTTCGGGCCAGTGGTCCAGGATGGCTACTCAAGCTGTAGCTGTCAGGAAGGATAAAGAAAAGCATGCTTCATCCTTTAAAGATACTTCCTGATGTCTTCTTTACATAAAACTTCGCTTACATCCTGGGCCAGGAACCTAGTTACCTGGTTATACTTCTCTGCAAGAGAGGTTGGGTGGTGTCAACTTTATTTTGGGGCAGCCATGATTCCAGTTAAAATTTCTATTACTAAGGAAAAGTGGAAAAACAGATATTAGAAGATAACTAGCAGTCTTTGGCACAGAGAGACTTGGGGATTTGTTTCTGCTTTGGGGTTGGGTCTATATCTGCTATTGGAATGAATACTCCTTTCTCAGCAACAAGCCCCCAGAGAGCCGTAAAGACCCCTCACGTGGGTCCTCCACTCACTGACGCAGGCTTTCCAGCAAGGAAATGAGATTAGGAGAGCACAGAAGGCTTGTGGTAGTTGAATCGTTGTCCCTGTTGTCTTGTGTTTGAGTGCTGATAGTCTATGCTGCTAGATGGGGCTGGGTGTTCTGGGAGTTAGGGCGGGGTGAGGATCAGATGTTGAAATTGTGTTTCTTAATTAGAATCAGGAAAACATTGAGAACACTTGACTGCTGCTGGGTAGGCTGTTTTCAGAGCTCTCTGTCCTCTGGCAGGGCTGAGAGTTGGGTGAAGCAAGCAAGGCACCTGGGGCCAGCATTTAAGGATGTTTGCCAAGTGGCCCTCTGACAGCGAGTGTCTCTGTGACGTTTGTGCCCCAGGTGCCTTACCCTACTCCTGGCCCTGCTCCCTGGCTGGCTGCATGTTGTTAAGTAAGTATCTTTATTTTTATTGAGAAAGAAGCATATGTTCATGGTAAATAGGTCTAACATAAAAGGGTATATGCAATGGAAAAGTCTCCCACTCTCTCGAGGTGTTAGGCTTCCTCCCCAGAGGCAGCCACTGTGACCAGGTTCTTTTGTTACCCCCCCCCCCCCCCCCCCCAGCTAGCCTTTCAGAAGAGGTTCTGCAGGGACCCCCAGAGGCGCCGCTCTCACGCAGTCCTTCAGCACTAGTCTTTGAGTGACCACTGTGTGCAGAGGGGACTCAGCCTTGGGGGAAGTTTGTAGCAGGGCTGAGGAGAGGCAAAGGAGCAGAAATGAGAGTGCCTGTCCCTGTGCTGAGGAGTACATCAGCTTCTCTCCATGTCTTGCTGTCACCCCTTGGTGCTACAAGCCAGAGGTGCAGCTGGGATATTGTGCGGCAGCCTCTTCATTTGTATGTCCGCCTTTCTCTTTTTTTGTCCCCTTTTCCCTGCGTCCTCTTGTCTTTGTCTCTTGTCTCTCTCTCTCCCCTCTGCATCTGTCTTCCGTGTATTTCTGTGTCTTTTTCTTACAAGCTGTACAGGCTCTCACTTCTTTCTGTAGTCCTACTTCCTTCTCTGCTTTTGTGTGTTTTTTGTTTCTTTTTCACAAGGGCTTGTATGTGACTTTGACTTGCTGTGGTCCTGACTCTGCTGCTGCTAGATAGATCCAGTCTCTTGGTACCCCAACTCCATGTTCCTGCGAAAGACCATCCAATAGGCTTAGCTTGAGCCCAGGCTCTGGCTTGATCATGCACAGGAGTGGAGGGGGAGCAATTCCCAAGAAGGGGTCCGGCAGGTGGGCAGGTACCTCAAAATATGCTTACTGTATTGCACAAGGGTCTGTGGATTACTGGTAGCTATAAACTAGGCAATCCTTTTGTTCAACTGATATAGACTTAGCCCCACACAGTGAACTTAAGTTAGCAGGGCAGGTCCCTGGGAAGGCCGGCCAGCAGCATGCATTCCTTTGATCTCCTTCCCTTCCCCTTGACCATTGCCCACATCTCCCAGCCCCACCTCATATGACTGACTAGTAAGCACCTGTGTCATTTGCTAGAGTGCTGAGTGAAAGCTCTCAAAGTGTCTTCAAGGCTGTTCAGCCACCATATTTATATCCACAGGCTGGCCCTAGCCTTTCCTCTCCATTTGAGTAGAGGAATGCCCAAGTTTCTGACAATTGCCTTGTTCCAGGGAATTCCTGGTTAAGTGAAAGTCATCATCATCTTGTTTCTAACCAGAGTTCATCATTTCCCCTCTTTGCTTGGCAATAAGCTTAAGAAAACAAAATGTTTTTGTTTCCTCCTAAGAATGTATCGTTTCCTTGGAAAAGTACCATCCAAATGCCTGAGGGAAAGACTTTCTTGAGACAGATGTTCATGTGACTGTAGCATGAGACACTAAGCTGTCCTGTGGAGCGGGAATGCCATAGAGTTAAGGGGAAAGGGAGCTCAGTGAGCGACTGGCTGGTATGTTTGGGGAAGGTTTCACAGAGGAAGTGGGGTTAGAGCTAGACCCCTGGGAAGTGGGAGATGCTGTCAGCTATGGCAGGAGGAGGAGAGAATGGCATTTCTTTTTCATGTCTATCTGGCACCAGGAGAGAGAGTCTGGCTGAAGGAGAGAGTGCAAAATAGGTTGGAGCAGGTAAACGTGGTCTGGAGGATAAGCCCAAATATTTTGCAATAACATTTGAGGTTCATATAAAAGTTCTATTTTTGGAGGCTTCAGGCAATAATCAGAGGTGTCACTGTGGAACCCCTCGTATATTGTTTTTTGTGTCTTCCCTGTGGATCAGAGCAGTCCCTGTTTAGCAGGGGTAAGGTACTGGGATCCCAACACAGGGCCCAGGTACCACTGAGGTGTGTGAGGAATGGGAACGTAAAGCCAGCAGTGCCAACAAGAGCCTAGGGAACTCCCAGGTGAGCTCAGTTCTCCTTGGCCCTCACCCAGAATTGGGGAGGGAGTGTGAGTTGGAATAGAAATGGGGGTGGGGGATATCAGTGGGGTCCCTATGAGCTTAGGAATGGTAGTCAGCCTCTCAGCCTCGGTTTTCTCACCTATAAAATGTCTATATTTTGGGGTTCTGAGAATTAATTGAGAGGATGTATGTGAAATTGTTAGGCACATGACAGGGTTTTTTTTAATCCTTATATGAAAAACATTGCCTCTCTAATTCCTAGGTGATACTCCACCTACATTCAAATTCACCTCAATTATTAGTGGGCCTCTCTTGTCTCTACTGTCTAAGGTGGCCATGGATATGTCCTGTGCCTTGGATGGTTGGGAACCTTGGGAGTCTGAGGGGAGCCTTGGATGGTTGGGAACCTTGGGAGTCTGAGGGGAGAAGGGTAGGGTGAAGTCTACCATTCCTGGGCCTGGGGGGAATTTCCAAAAATGGTTCTGGTTGTCAGAATTTATGAATTTGGACACACTTTCTGTGCTGGGAGCACACCCACGCCTTTCTTCCCTCTCAGGCATGCATCTTCTAAACTCCAAGGGTCGCCAGGAGACTTGTAACCAGGGGAGCAGTGGGCAACGACGACTTGTCCCGGCTACCTCCCGGAACCTGACTCTGTGGCCCCCTTTTCTCTGGCTTCTCAGTGAGCTGACAGCAGCCTGACTGTGGCTCACTTCTGTCACTGGGACTTGTACTTCTCAGAGAGTCCACACAGTCCCTTGTGGCTCACTTTCCTATGTTTCTAGGGAGCCAAAACAGCCCCTCCGAGGCTCTCTCCTGTCGCTTCTTCTATCCTGAGCCCTTCCTTGTTTCACTGTCCCCAGCTTTAATAAACATACCCTCAAAAAAAGAAAAAAAGGAATTTATGAATATGCTTTAGTGCATGCAGATAGGGCAGAAGTGATATACTCTGTAAAGAAAGGTTGGACCTCTGTACCCTCAACTCAAGCCTGCCAGTGACTGTATGGTTTTTCTTCTAGGTCTGCTGACATTTGTGAACTGTGCCTATGTCAAATGGGGCACACGTGTACAGGATACGTTCACTTACGCTAAGGTCCTAGCGCTCATTGCCATCATCATCATGGGCCTGGTGAAACTGTGCCAGGGTGAGAAGGGCGTGAGGAGGGAAGGGGGTGGGGGACTCCAGGGGAGGACATGGGGATTCTGTTAGCTTTACTGCTCGGCTCTTTGCACAAGCTAGACTGTGTCCGCGAGGGCAAGAGGTCTGTTCCTGGGCCTCGTGGGCTGGGCTGGCTTGGCCGTATGGACATGAGTCCGCCCTCCCTCAGGGCTGCTTCCCCTTTAAGGGGGCTAGGAGCACTGTAAGAAGCCAGCTTGGGACCTAGAAGCTCTTAAAACTTGGGTCACAATTAGGTCATAAAAGTAAACAGTGGAGATAGAGTGAACTCTGTGCTGGCTCCTAGTTTCGGTCTGTGAGTGCCAGGCAAGCAAGTGGGAAGACTGGGCCCTTTTTGAGATGGGCAGAAGTGGGTGTGTGTGTAGGGAGATGGGGTGTGGAAATCATTGGTTATTTCATCTGCACTTGCTCTTATTCAGCATTCTCTGCCAAAGTCAAAAAGAAAAATTAAAATATTGTGAAGTTGGCACTGACTTTTCTGCAGGTTGGCTTTAGAAAGCATTTTTATTCTGGGATCAGAGTAAACTGGCAGGGAGGATCACAGGCCTCCCAAGATCACCTGAGTCCTTAGGGAAGTCCTCAGGCCCAGGATATCTTGATCATTTAACGACCAGTTCTCAAGATCACCTGTCTCTAAACTTGGCTGTGTTTATAATAACCTGGGACACGGAGACCTCCCCCCATCTCAGACCTATTGGATCAAACTCTGGATGGTTAGGAGTTGAAAAAGGTGTGTTTTTAAGACGTGCTCCATGTAATTCTGCAGCAGCTGCCCTAGCATCTCTGTGTGCACATGTGCCAGGTTAGGACAGCCAGCCAACTGGATGTCCCTGGGGTCTCAGAAACATCTTGGGGTCAAATTGGGTAGTTGAGTAATCTTTCCCACCAAGATGTGCGCCTTAGGAACCGCTGCTTTGTGTAGTGACTGACACTTCAGGGACGTGGGCGTGTCTATTTTCCCTTCTCTTGCTGCACACCCAGCCCTTTTTGCCACATTGAGGGATGGGTCTAGGCTTTCTGCAGGGGGTGACTGCAGGCTTCCTTAGAAGTCTGGGTCTTGTTAAACCTGCAGTATGTCCGGAAAGTCTCTCCTGGGTGCTGCTTCCTGAGCTTTTAAGTCCATCATCTCTGGAGGCCTCCAAGGAGAATGACAAGTGCCTAGGCTGGTTCTTCAAGGGTGAAGGTGACCCAAATCTACCCAGATTTACCCCAGTTTTTACATAGCCTGTGATTTTATGCCCCAGGTAACCACGGCCACTGCAAATAGAGCAACAGAGTTCTCTCGATGAGACTGAGAAACCCATTTGACCAAATTGTGCAGTGGCGGGGGACAAGAAAGGCAATTCTACAGGAAGGTCTAATCGTTAGTGAAAAATGACTCCTTTATGATAAACAGGGTGCTTTCTAAAAATAGGACGAAGGGCTGTGGCCTACTGTGAGGTCACTTGCAGGAAATGGAAATTCACTAGGGCTTTGGAACAGGTGTCACATCTGAGGCAACTAGGAGTGCTCTTCTTTATCTGAGATTGTCCAGTTTTACTAAAGTAATAGGAACTTTCATAAGGGAGGAGGGGTGGTGGTAAAGTATAGGGAGCTGGTGGTTGTCATTCTTTTGGTGTTAAATTGTATATTTTTTTTCTCCCCCCTTCCCTCTTACTTTTCCCTTCCTTTCTTGACCCTCCTCCTTTCTCCTTTTTTTCCATCTTCCATTTCTCTTTTTTACTCCCCCCCTTCCACCTCTTCTCCCCACCCCTCCTCCTTTCTCTTCCTTCTCCCTGAACCCCCACCAACCTTTCCTCCCACAGGACACTCTGAGCACTTTCAGGACGCCTTTGAGGGTTCCTCCTGGGACATGGGAAAAATCTCTCTCGCCCTCTACTCTGCCCTCTTCTCTTACTCAGGTTGGGATACCCTTAATTTTGTAACAGAAGAAATCAAAAACCCAGAAAGGTAAAGGCGGGCTCACCCTCTCACTCCCCAGCTCTCACTCCCCAACATGGCTGGAACTCCTGCTGGTAGAGGGCAAGCTCTTCCCTCCCCTTGTCTCTCATCTCTTCCTACTCCTCCAGCTCAGAGGGATTAAAGATTAAGGGTTAGGATGGGAATGAGGGCAGGTGGGAAATGCCCTGGCTCCTCACCCTCATGTTCATACTGGAGGACACCAGGGCCCTCCCTCAAGGAGAGGTCCTTTAGAGGGCAGCAGCAGACCCAGCTGGGGCTAAGGTGTTAGGACCTTGCACTGTGGTAGTGACACTGAAGCTTGGACAGCCAGGTCCTCAGCCCGGCCTCTAGTCTCTAGAGGGCACTGCTCCTTTTTCAGTGGGGGGTCCTAGTGTGGCGAGCATCAGATATTGATCACAAGCTATCTTCACATGATATCTCTCTCCCTCTGTCTCCTTGTCTCTCTCTCAAGAGCCCAGGGCATGGGATACCTACCCACTCTAGGCCACATGGGGAAGAAGTGCCTCAAAGACCCAGAGGCCAGGGAACTGTTAAATGTCAGAAAAATCCTCAGGTGAACTTTGACCTCAAGGAGAGGTTGGTTCTAGGTAGTTCTGTCTCACTTGTCCTGACAGAAATTTGCCCCTGGCCATTGGGATTTCTCTGCCCATTGTGACGCTCATCTACATTCTGACCAACGTGGCTTATTACACAGTGCTGAACGTTTCCGATGTCCTTGGCAGTGATGCTGTGGCTGTGGTGAGTCTCTCTGGATCCCCATTTGCCTATCATCTTATGATACTGAATGGCTTAATTTTTCCGCAGCCACTCTGGCTCTGCAGGGTGAGGTAATGTCTGGGCCAGAGAGTAGGCTGCTCAGCAGTGACTGCGTTTGACCCAACAGCCTTGATGCAGGAGGCTTATGAAACCCTGGCTTGTGCTGAGTCCACCTTCTGTGTTCTGCCCCCAGACATTTGCAGACCAGACCTTTGGCGTATTCAGCTGGACCATTCCCATTGCTGTTGCCGTGTCCTGCTTCGGGGGCCTCAATGCATCTATCTTTGCTTCATCAAGGTACTATGTCTCTGCTTCATTGATAACATACTCCACTATTCTTTGAGGCTTTAGGTGAGTCCCTACAGGACTCCTTTTTAAAAAAAAAATAATAATAAGATTTTATTTATTTATTTTTAGAGGAAGGGGAAGGGAGTGAGAAAGAGAGGGAGAGAAACATCAATGTATGAGAGAAACATTAATCGATGACTCTTGCACACCCCCAGCCAGGAACTTGGCCTGCAAACCAGACATGTGCCCTAACGGGGAATTGAACCTGTGACCTTTTGGTCTGTGGGATAGTGCCCAATCCACTGAGCTATAGCAGTGAAGTCCATAAGAGCTCTTCTTTTCACTTCACCCTCTCTTGGAAATATAGGCTGTGTATGCATGTGTACACGCCTGTGTGTATGCATGGGCTTGACTTTGTGCAAATGTTTGTGTGCTGGTAGCTCATGTTTCCATCTGAGACAAGGACAGATAGGTAGGAGGTGGAGAGAAGGAAGGTAATAAGGTAATAGCTTGGCCCTAGCTGGTGTGGCTCAGTGGACTGAGCGCTGGTCTGTGAACCAAAGGGTTGCCAGTTCAATTCCCAGTGTGGGGTGCATGCCTGGGTTGTGGGCCAGGTCCCCAGCAGGGGGTGCGCAAAATGCAACCACACATTGATGTTTCTCTCCCTTTCTCCCTCCCTTCCCTTCTCTAAAAATAAATAAATAAAATCTTAAAAAAAAAAAGGTAATAGCTTGGAGTAGGGACCCTGTTGGGATCAGATTCTAGGCCCCTTGTGGGTTATGGTACAGCTCCAGGATTATTGAGCACTTGCTGTGTACCAGGTAATGGTACAGGATGAATCTGACCCTCACTTCGCAGAAAACACTGAGGCCAACAGGTAAGGCCCCTGTTCTCTGCAGAGGCTGTCCTTCCTGTTGTTGCAGAAAAAGGAGCTGTCTGCCTAGCTGGGCTAACTCTTCTACCTGGTGTCAAGTTTGCACACTTCCCTTCTTGAGCATTTTGCTTCATTAGTTGGCCTCTTTGGTGGATGTTCAGTTGGAGCCACCTCTGTACAAGCTTCTTTCATCTCCTCTTACAAAAGCCACAGAATAGCTTTTTCTCATTTCCCCTTTTCCTTACTGGACCCATTTCTTGAGGGAATAGTTTACATTTCAGCTGTCACTCATTTTTCTACCCATTACACTTTGGCTTCCATTACCTAAAAAATGTTTTTATTAACGGTACCCATGACCTTCTTAGCCTGCTTTTATAGGTTGGTTTTTTTTTTAATTTTATTTATTTATTTTTAGAGAGGGGAAGGGAGAGAGAAAGAGGGAAACATCAATGTGTGTTGCCTCTCACACACCCTCTACTGGGGACCTGGCCCTCAACCCAGGCATGTGCCCTAGACTGGGAATTGAACTGGTGACCCTTCGGTTTGCAGGTCAGCGCTCAGTCCACTGAGCCGTACCAGCCAGGGCCTGCTTTTATAGTTCTTATTCTACTGGACCCACGAAGCAAGTGATACCAACAACCTTTTGCAGTATTGGTGAAATGATTCCTGTGGCTTCTGTGGCACTCTGGTAGCTGAGAAGCCTCCTTTCCTGATTTCTCTTCCACTCACCCTATAAATGTTGCTATCCTGAAGGCCAGGAGTGTAATAGGCATTACATACTTGCCACATGAGCATATAGGAGGATAAGAGAAAGTTTTGTGCTGGTCGTTCTTCTTACTAGTTTTGACACACCAGTCCATATACTTGGGGCCTCCCTGGGGCACCCAGATAAGAGAGAAGTCAAGGCCTTGTAAAAGAATATGGCATCATCTTCTCTCACCTCAGCCTTCTGTGACCAAGGTTGTACCTGACACAGCTCTTCAAAAGCTGCCCCACCCAAAGATGGTACTTCCCGTAGTCTCATCCTTGTTGATGCTAAAGGCATCCCAACTGGCCCTGCCAGTTGACCCCAAAAGTTTAGGTGGTAGGTGCCTTCTAACCTTGCTCAGCTGTCTTGTGGCATGGACTGGGTGGGGTTGGGGAGGACTCAAGAGAGTAAGAATCTGGCCATGCACATAAAGGGGACTTCAGTGCTGACAGGTAATGCACCATTGTTTCTGCTTCTGCCAGTGTTACCTTCTTCAATTTTTCTTTATTACCCATGCAGCTCTCTTTGTCTTTGTACTAAGATGCCATTGCCTAACCTACACATTATTCCCATCCAGCATCCCCTCTATCACATTTCTTCTCTGCCTGGTGCAGATGATTAAGTCTGTCAGGCAACTCCAACATCATCTCCTGTGATACCTTTCTAGGTGTCATCATCAACTCCTGTGGCTCCCCCTGGATGGCCCACGAGTATCTCAAACTTAATGCGCGCCTGACGTGTGCTTTGTGTATGGTTGTGATTTTGTGGACAGTCCGTCCTGCTTGCTGCTTGATTTTATCTTTGGTGTCCACCCTCTTCTCCCAGTGTGTGCATGTGCATGCAAGCATGCGCACATCAACCCTCATGCAGGCCCCCTTTCTTACGGGACAATGATCATGAATGACCTACCTCCATGCCTGGTCTTGTGTCCATACCCTAGCCTCTCCCTGTTCTAGTTGGCCTCCACGATGCTACCAGAGTCTCTGCATCAAATCGGGCTAGGCCCTTACTTCAGAGCCACAGCTGGCTGTCATGCTTGTTCAGATTCCACAGCATGGCCTCTTATGCAAGCTCTTCCCAGCATACTCCTCACACCTTGCCCTGGCACTACAAGCATTCTAGCACCAACCTTCAGAGTCCACACTGTTTCACCTCCAAGCCTCTCTTGCCTTTGCCCATGCTGTTTTCCTGCCCACCCACGTACCATCTGGCAAACCCCAGCTCTTCTTCCCAGCCCAGATGTGGCCGTCTCTTGCAGAGCTTTTTGTCCCCTAGCTCACCCCCAAGCTTGATGAGTGCTGTGTGGTCTGTGATGGCGCAGGCTGCCCTTGGTTGCACTCATTTTTCTGCGGCTCTGTTTCCCAGTCAGTAGGGCTCTTTAGGCACAGAGAGGAAGCCTGGTTGGTTTCTTTGAGCTCCAGGTTTGCCCTGGCCTGTCACATGTCAAGAACTCTAAGAAGATAAATGAGAACGCAACAGAAGTCTGGCTGCTTTTCTTTAAAAAGCCATTGTGCCCCTGCCTGGTGTGGTTCAGTGGATTGAGCGCCAGCCTGCAAAACAAAGGGTCACCTGTTTGATTCCCAGTCAGGGTACATGTCTGGGTTGTGGGCCAGGTCCCCAGTAGGGGACGCATGATAGGCAACCACACGCTGATGTTTCTCTCCCTCTCTTTCTCCCTCCTTTCTCCTCTCTCTAAAAATAAATAAAATCTTTAAAATAAAAAAGCCATTGTGGTAAGTATGAAATTTATAGGATGGCAGGGTGAAGGTACCTCTGGTGGGATGGATTGGGGTGCTGGTGGGAGATTGCAGGGGGAGGCATCCATTGGATGATAGTGGGGTATCAGTGACTGAGAGAAGTGGGGTTGTCTGTGGGTGATGGGGGTGTCAGTGGGTAACAGTGGGGTAGGGGATTTATGGATAATGGTGAGGTGCCCTGGTTGAAGAGGGTGGAGACCCTCTTCTGTGGGTAAAGGGGGTAGGTTGGACTGGGCATGCACAGAGAACGTGGGATGCTCCTGAGAGAGTGCCCCCTGATTTTTCTGGGGCTCTGAGACTACTTTGAGCGAGGAGTGTGGCTGCATGGCTGAGTAAGAGGATCCTGCTCACACATTTCTTGTCTCTCCAGGTTATTCTTCGTGGGCTCCCGCGAAGGTCACCTCCCAGACCTCCTGTCCATGATCCACATTGAGCGTTTTACACCCATCCCTGCTTTATTGTTCAATGTAAGCTCTGCTGGAGGCATGTGGGGACTGGGTGTATCTCTGTACTATGCCTGTTAACTTTGTGAGAAGGCTGTTGGGTGGGAGGTATACTAGTTTTCTTGAGATACTTCCTGAGCCTCACAGTGTTTCTTTTTTCTTAAAATTATTTAAAAATATAAAAGTAAAACATCATCACATTAGAGAAGGCAAAGGCTATGAAAGAATATAAAAATGATCTTAGAAGATTTCTCTATCTCTTCTTATATGTCAGTGACTTCTTCCAGCTCCCATTTTAAAAAAAAGTATTCAATCATATTTAGAAAAGAAGTCAGACCAGTTACACACCAGCTACCCTAGAGGCCTCCATTCATGTTACAGACATCATAGAGTCATATATAGTAGATGGCAGTAAAGTGTTTTTTTCCAACAAAATTAGTGAATTATGAAAATATTCTGACAAATGGAAAGTCCTGAAGAAGGACCACCATTTTCTAATTTGCACTAAGATATTATATAAATAAAAGCTAACAGGGACCCTGAGGAAAAAGACTTTAACTCCAGGATTTGAAAAACAGTTCCTTTTTCTTATTATTAGGCCTTGTATGGTTTCATTAATTAAGTGTAAATTTTTGATTCATCTGGAATTTATATTTTGACATATGGACTGAAGTGGGGATTCACTTAATTTTTTTCTTGAATGGCTATCCAGCTATGCCAATATCATTAATTAAATAATTCACTTTTCCAGTTCAAATTTTTACCATATAAAAATAATAATGGGTAATAATTTAAGATGCTTTATATATGCCAAGTATAATATACCTCTTAAATGTTTCATCATCTCAACTAATCCTCCCCATCAGCACTAAGCTTCATTATTTAACTTTATACTGAATATCTGAAAACAAAGAGGATACTTCTTTAGTTTTTTCCCCCCTGGAATTTTCCTGTTTGTCTTGATGAACTTTGGTATCATTTTGTCAAAATAACAACAACAAAAACCTCTTATATTTTGATTGGGATAGCATTGCATTTATAAATTTAGGGGAGATCTGACAGTTTGTATTTTAAATTAATCACCTCCTACCCCACTTTTCTCCCCTCAATACAAGGTCCCCTTTCTTCGCCCAGAGTGACCTCTTTTTGTGTTAAATCCTTTGTTGATAATCTGGGGTGAAAAAATAGGTGTTGGGAACTCCTTATTCTTGAAGTTTAAGCAAATTTGACTTTGTCCTGGGCTCTAGTCCCTGCTGTTGTCTTCCAGGGCTCTTGTTGCAGGGGGCAAATCTGTCATACCTCTCTCCCCTGGGGTATGGATCCATTTTGCTAATCTGCATTTCTTTTATTTTCTTTACTTTTTAGAAAGAGGGGAAGGGAGAAAGAAAGGGAGAGAAACATCAGTGTGTGAGAGATACATTGATCAGTTGCCTCTCACATGTCCCCAGGTGGGGAACCTAGATTGCAGCTGAAGCGCGTGCCCTGACTGGAATCAAACCAGCGACCTTTTATTTTGCAGGCCAGTGCTCAATCCACTGAGCTGTACGAGCCAGAGCATCTAATCTAAGAGAGATGGTTCTGGAGGCATTTACCCATTTGTATACCAGGTAGATAGGACCCATGTATAAAGGTCTGGAAGGCACCTTGTGATTCATGTTGAGGTTGGTGGTTGAAATGAGAAGGGCCTCACTGTCTGCCATCAGAAGGGGAAGGGAGTTTGGCTTATTACTAACGTGTCTGCAGAAAGAAGGGAGGCATTGAGTGGAGGAAGGGCCCTCCAACAGAAGAGATGCCACCTTGAAGGTTAAGGTGGAGAATGACCTTTCTGATGCCAGGGGGTCACTGAAGAGAATTGGAGATAATCTGGTAAAGCTGAATTAGCAATTAGCAGATCTGGTGCTGACTGCTGGATGGTGGAGTCTTGTGGGGTCCCCATTGGTGACATTGCTCTCTCCTGCTCCCTCCCTCCCACTCCAGTGCACCATGACACTCATCTACCTCACCGTGGAGGATGTTTTCCTACTCATCAACTACTTCAGCTTCAGCTACTGGTTCTTTGTGGGCCTGTCTGTGGCTGGACAGCTCTACCTTCGCTGGAAGGAGCCCAACCGGCCCAGGCCTCTCAAGGTCAGTGGCTCTGGACAGACGAAGAGGGCTGGGCCCTCTCCCCAAAGTGCCTTCTTCCCCAAGCCCTGTTCCCCCATCCCAGTTTTACCTAATGTGTTACCTCTCTCCATTTCAGCTGAGCCTGTTTTTTCCCATCGTGTTCTGCATATGCTCCTTGTTTCTGGTGATTGTGCCCCTTTTTAGTGACACCATCAATTCACTCATTGGCATTGGGATCGCCCTCTCCGGAGTCCCCATCTACTTCCTAGGTGTTTACCTGCCAGAGTCCCGGAGGCCACGCTTTGTTCGGAACATCCTGGGTGAGCTTCTCTTTGCACCTCACTCACTGGCCGGGCATGCATGTGTGTGTACACACAGGTGGAGAGGTGGAGGTGGGGGAGTGGCTAATAGCTTCCTCCATACCAGTGAAGTGCTGGAGGCCATGAGAACTGGCTGCCCCATGACTGAGGCACATGAGAACTAGCTGCCCCACAGCTTTTTCCCGTTGGATCTTGATACGATCACCAGTTCTATCTTTACGAGTACTATTTTGGGGTTAAAACACCACCTTCTGAAAGTGCTGTCTACGTGGAAAAATGAGGAGTTGTGCATGGGACTGGGGATGTTGAGGCCTGTGGGGAGTGAGGGGTGAAGCCTGGCACAGAGTACTGAAGGAAGGAGTGGGGCGGGAGCCAGATGTGCTTTAATCCATCTTGTGGTGTTTAGATTGGAGTTGTAGCTCGATGTGTTTGCTAAATTCTCCTTTTTTCATTTAGCTGCTGTCACCAGAGTCACCCAGCGCATTTGCTTTTGCGTCCTGACTGAGCTAGATATAGCTGAAGAGGGAAAGGTTGAGAGGAAAACTGATTAGAGGCCAGAGAAGTCCCCTGGGGCCTGGAAGGTTGGCTACCTGTGGCCACAGCCACGGAAGTCCAGATGACAAGACTGTGGGTCCAACCCTCTTGAACTAAAGGAGCCTGTTGGCCCATATTATGTAAGGGGGCTCAGGGCTGACGGCCTCCTCAGGTGGTCGCTCTCATTGGTAAGCTATGGGAAGAGACTCAGAGTCGGGGCCAGCATGAAGGTGGGGCCTCTGGGGTGGAGGTGATGGTGGTGGGGCCGGGGGATGGGTGGTTGGGTTTTGTTCTGGGTGAGCTGTGCATCCCTTACAGACACTGAGTTGCACCGGGGGAAGAGTGCTAGCTAGGTTAATAGATGTAGGCAGTGATTTCCAAGTTTGATATCTGAGCTTGAACCAGGAGTCTCTACAAAGGGGCTGCTTTTATGGGAAGTTTTCCTCTGACCAGGTCCAGGCACCTGACTTCAGGTGCCTAAAAGGCTACCATTTCTTCCTCTGGTTCAAAATCCTTCCGTGGGGAGAAGATTGTATTCCAAAGTACCAAAGCCGAGGCCCTCTGTCTTTAAGAGGTGTCTCTACATGGTGGTAGGTCAGACTGACCACAGACTTTGCTTGGTTTTAGCACAATCTTCTGTTAAGTCTTACCTGCAAAGGTTACCTTTAAGAGCTTTTTTTACTCATGTACCTGTACACTTTAGTGTATAGATGGATCACATGTTACAAGCACCTGGCTCAAGTTCAGCAAGGACCGGTGAACCAATTCATGAGTCAGAAGTCTGGCAGTACTGCTATTGTGAAGGATAATCCTTTATTTTACTTGAGACCTTGCCTTTGTTCTAGTTGATAAAGTAAATCTCTGGGTTTCTGGTACGAACTTTTAAGAGGACAGAAACTTCTAGAGTTCAGGTGGATCACCTGGATTCTTTCAGCTGTTAAAGTCTCATGGACCCAAGCCACCAAATAGTTTGTTCCCCTCTGTAAAGGTCGGTGTGAGGGGCTGCTGTGCAGACCCACGCCAGCCCACCTTGGTGCTAGAGGTGGTTGTTTTTTTCCTGAAAACCTCACACCAGGCTGCATCCTCCTCTTCTGTTCCCAACACCAGGCTTTGTTTACACTGAGCCGCCTTGGTGTGGATCACCAGGATAGTGCACTCCTCTACCACCTGCCTCCTGGTGCGAGGTCTGGTGGGGCTTGTCTCAGGAAGACCTTGGTACTTGTGGAGACTTCTGTTTTTCCCCCCTCTGTGGAGATCATTGAAGACTGGGAAAAAAGCTCCTACAACCTCAGTCTTGCTCCTCAGCACTGCACAGCTGGAAACAACTAATTCTGGTGTTGAGGCTGCAGTTTGGCATCTGGATGAAGCCAGAGCAGGAAGTTTGGCCTAATGGATGCTCCTTCATAGCTGCATGGCCACACTGGATTGCGCAACTGTCCTGTGATGTCCTCAGACTGTCATCCTGGGCCCAGAAGAACCTGTTGGCTTACTATGGGCTTCTTGTCCTTAGATTTTGGAATTGATCAATGGTAGGCAAGAACTACAAGGCAATCTTCCTTTCTGACCATCTTTCTCTGCCAAACTGGCCCATCTCAGACAAGGGGGGTAGGGCATACTTGCTCAATAAAGACAATTTAGGGGAGCATGCTCACAGTTGCTTTTGGTTCAGAACAAGCATCTGTGAAAACATAGGGGGACATTCCTACTATCATGGGTTGGGGACTTGCACAGCAAATTCCTGTCTGACAACAGTTCTGTGCAGAGGGTTAACTTGCCTAGACTATAGAAACATGACTCGTGACTGAGTCAAGCTGGCATCTGTTCCAGGGATCCTCTAGGGCTAATCTTTGAAGCACAGTGCACTTGCCTTGAGGATCCCTGAGCCAGGCTTTAGCTTTCTCCACTCAGGTACATGACGGGCTAATCCCAGAAACTTGCTGCTCCCTAGTGGCTTCTGGGGGAAACAAGGGCCTCACACCCCAGGTGCCCTAATACTTGCTTAGTGAGCCATGTCATCCTCTTGTTACTGGATGGTGACTGCATTCTTTCCATTTGTGCTGGATACAGACTTTCCCTAGGAACTGTCCTGTGGGAGGGAAGCCAGAGACTTCCTCCACTAAAGCTTCACGGTGGAATTAATTTCCATGTGGTTTTTGTTCATCAACCTCAGTCCTGGTGTGCTAATCCCTTTTGCAGCAGGTACAATTTGTGAAGCTGTCAGCTGTTTAATGTTGGCAAACCTTAATGAGTACATAAATAGCAGTGAACACATCATAATGGCACAGAGTGGTTTTTAATCCTTTGTTTCTGAGCCCACAGGAGACTAAGGATGACTAGTAGGTTGAATAGAAGGTTCTGTGTATGTATTGCCCTAGACCTTTGCTATCCAGTAGTTAGCTACCGTCCACATGTACCTAAATAAAATAAGAAATTTCAATGCCTCAGTTGCACTAATTACATTAGAAGCGCTCAGCTGTATGTGGCTAGTGGCTGCCACTCCACAGTGCATATACAGAACACACTTATATTTGCAGGAAGTTCCACTGGACAGTGTTACATTGGGAGATTAAATGTCAACTCAGAGTTAGGGCATCTGTGGTTTGGAAGCGGTAGGTAAAGAGAATTTGCTTACTAGAGACAGAAGTTTTGGTAAAGAAAAAAATTTGTTCCTGTTGGTAGTTTTGGTGAGTGATGTAGATAAACATTTCTCAGTGGAAAGCTAAGTTCAGGATGTGCTTTCCTTTTCTTAATTTGCCTTGAGTTTTTAGTGTCTAAGGTCAATTCTGAAACTTCTAGCTCACTAATCCCCCATTTTTGGTGGAGGGCTTGAGGGGGAGAGGGAGCACAATGGGAAAACACCTAATAGATTCAGATTTAAAGGGTTTTAAGGGAATTACATGCTCCCATATTTAAAGTGTTTTTACTAAATGCAAAGTATCACGTTCATGCATACTCTGTTCCTTGGCACCACTGCTACAGACAGACAGCGATCTTTACAACCATTATTGCAGAAGGAGGGAGATAAGAGACAACTGCAAATGAAACCCCTCACATCTCAGGCAGATTCTTCTTCTTTTCCTATGGCTATTACTATCCAGTCTGTGCTGCTACAAGGGACCCACTGTAGTTCTAGATTCCTCCTCTCAGAAGAAACAGGCTTTTACGGGAGGCTGGTGGCCTGGTGGTATAGGAAAGCTGAACCTTAGTTCTGATAAAATGGGGGCTTCTCCACTTACGGGCTTCAGCGTAGGAGAAGGGCAGGAAAATGCCTAAGCCAGGAAGCTTCATTTTTGTGGCTTTTTTCTTTTTGGTCCCGACTGTAGGGTCACTTGACCAAGACAAAGGGGCCCTACTATTGGTGGAAAAGACACTCTCCTTCAGGACACGTTTTCACTGGTAGGATATGGTGCCGTTGGACATGCTTTTTCCCTCCCTGTGTTTCGCTAGGAAACCCATTACCAGGGCGGCCGACGCTGTAGTCAGAGCCCTCAAGGCCTGTGTAGAACCGCGTGGGTATCACAGGGTCCTCAGTCTGAATCCAGGTCATGGGGGCTGTCATAGCCAAACTCCTTCTGCACATCCAAAGGGTATTTGTTCCACATGTGTGGTCTGCTGCTCCCTCTTTCCTCTTCACTGAGGCTGTCATATTCATCAGAGCCTAGAATAAGATAACAGGAATGGGCTCCAGCTGTGTGATTTTTTTTAGGTGACACTGAGGGCCCCTTCCCTTCTCAAAAGGTCTGTTTTGTTTTTTTCGGTTCACCACTTAAAAATCCTTGTTCCAGAAAGAGAATTTAGAACAAACTAAAAAAAAAAAATCACATTCCTATTTTTTGTTATTTCTCCCCTAAGTACAGGATGTTTTTTCTTTTGGTTATAACAGTTGCAGTAACATGATAAATATAATTTTGAAATTTGTCCCTTAACATATTACAGGCACTTTCCCAATAGAATATTACATAGTTTGATTATTTTTCCTCCATTAATAGGCACAAAGGAATTCTTTTTGTTGGCACTTAGAACCTGTCCAATACTTTCTTAGACTGAAGCAGAGAAAGGGACACTGAGCTAGATGTTTCACTTAATCTCAACCACTTACGTTGGTGCAATACCCTCATTTTCTGGAGAATGAGGCTCAATGAAATGAAGTAACTTGCCCAAGGGGGACCCACAGGTAGGCAATGACAGAATTAAGGATTTGAACCCACCCGACATTACACCTTCGAAACCCCATGGAAACACTGGTCCCTGGGTTTCCTATAGCTTCAACAGCTTATGTTTGAGCTACTGGAGCTTAATGGTGAAAAGCCAGTTTGGATGGACCTGTCAGCTGTGCTCATGCCTCAGTCTTGGATCCCAGCAGTCCCTCCCCATCCAGGGCTGCCTCCCACTACCTCTGGAATCTTCATCTCCATCACTGCTCTCCTCCTCTGGGTACTCATTGCGCCAATTATTCTCACTGTTCTCATCATCTTCATCTTCATAAATGTCCTCCGGTTCTTGGTCATCATTCACCTGCACATCTCAACACAAACATGAGTATCCGTCAAAACATCTAAGGTTATGCTCTTAGCAAACCAACTTTAAGAGATGTCATTTAAGGATGCTGTGTGAAAAAGAGGCAGCCTTGGATTAGTTTGTCTCTGCTGCACAAGAAGCTACGCCTAGATTACAGGAGAGAGATAACTAGCCTGACTCCAATCCTAAGTCTAGCTCCAGGCACCACATTCCTGGTAGGATAGACTGAACTTCACCAAAAAGGATTGCCCCAGGGTGCGGAGAGACAGCTCTGAGGAGGTGATGGCAGTGATGTTCAAACTGCCACAAGGCACCCAAGTGGGAGAGGGATTTATGGATTATGGGTGATGTCAAAGATCAGAACCAAAATGTAAATGTGAGGGGTGCAGGAAGGCAAAAGGAGGGGCTATGTGAGGATTCAGACTATGGTTGTAGTGTAGGTGTGGAATAAAGTGCTTTTCTCCTAAGAGTATGACAGGTACCACCTTACCTTCTCTCATTAATCATTTTAGAATTTAAGAATAGCGATTGCCTGGAAGTTAGCTTTCTTAATCCAAGATCCCCTCCCCCACCCTTTTAAAAAGATTTTATTTATTTATTTTTTAGAGAGAGGAAGGGAGGGAGGAAGAGGAAGAGAAACATTGATGTGCAAGGGATACATCAATAGGTTGCCTCTCGCATGCCCCCAACTGGGGACCTGGCTGACAATCCAGGCATGTGCCCTGACTGGGAACTGAACCAGCGACCTTTCAGTTTGCAGGTGGGCACTCAATCCACTGAGCCACACCAGTCAGGGCCAAGATTTTCCCCCCTTATAAGACACAATTTAAAAAAAAAGTCATATTAAATTTCTGGCTTTATTTTTATTATAAGCTGCCATACATCCCCCCGCCCCCGAGTGTGGGAAGGTATAAACAATAAAGATACCACAAACCCCGTAAAAGGCTCATTAAGAGCAAGAATTATAAATACAGACTCTCCCAAAACCCCCTGCATCAAAATACCCAGGTTCCTAAAAAGCACTCAGAATAAATTTTTTTTTGAGCAAGAACAAAAAGAACTAAGAACACTGTTGATCAGGATTAGATAACCCAGGGAGGCAAAGTACACCGACTACAGAATTGCTCAGGCTGCCTAGTGCCCCTCATCCTCACGGGTCCCCTTACCAGCTCACACTCCTGACTGTACCGCTGCACAGAGAGGATATTCTCAATCCATCCTGGGGTGGCCATCTCTAGGTAGTAAATGTCATACACATAGTCATCCTTCTGTTCCTCCCGGTTCCTGGTGCTTGGTCCATCCTCAGATACAGTCAGCCGTTCCCTAATCAACTCTACAGAATTGCAGAGGATCACATCTGGGTCAGATGCCTGTAAAGGAAACAGATGACACGGATGAGATAAAACATGGATGTTCAAAGAGAAGGAACCTCAGAGTTGGGGGGAAGGAAGCCTCCTTACAGTTCTCTGTTAGATTTGGTATTCTTATTCTCATGGCCTACTAGTTTAATTAGCTATAAAGTTAAAAAACCAAGTATCTCTAAAAAAGTGTATAGTTCTTTTGAGATAGAAACTTACAAGATAGACTCCTACTCTTCTGAGCATGCGTGAAGACTGGCTTAGGAGAGGGAAGGGCCAGCAGAGCTGTTGAGTCTTCCCCTAGGTCTTCCTGAGCTCCTTTGGTATGATGTTCTCCCCTTAGAGACCTGCAGGCCCACAAAAGCACGTCTATAGCTGCCCCCCAAATGGGTCTGCATTTTGTGTGGCCTTCTATAGGGACCTAAGAGCTATTCCTGAGCTCTGATAACTACTACCAGCCATCACCCACCACTTCACTTGTCCACACTGACGACCTGCTTTTAATCACAACCAGGAGTGGATTCCCCTATAATAATCCTTTTTCTGTAAAAAGAATAGCTCAACATGGATTGCCCAAGAATGGAATTGGCCCAGATTTAGATGTATTGCAGGGGTAATAGGCTGTGTTATCCAGGGTAGCATAGGTCAATTTGGAAACCAAAGGGACATGCTTTAAATGACCCTTCTTGACAGGTTCATCACAGGAGGCTGTGCAGCTCAAACCAGACACCACATGGGGAAGCAGGGGCGTCCTATGACCAAGGCAGACAAGGGGAGACCAATGCTCTCAATCACAGGCTAAAGGGCTAAAGGGAATTTATTCTTTGCTCCAAAGTCAAAAGGAACTAAAGATGTCATTTTCGTGCAGATTCTTGACTAACCTCAAAGCTGTTTTAAAGGAAAGCTCTGGCTCTGCCTCACAAGTCCCCAGCCTTCAGTCCCACAGATCATGTAGCCATATTTCTTTCCTGTATTTTTTTTTTCAAATTTCCTATAATAAACACATTATTTTTATAAATTATTTTTTTACGTCTAGTCTGTGTATGTTTACCCATATATTTTTTTTAATGAACAAGCTTTTAAAATACAGCTCAGGCAAGTAAAATACTGCACACTGTAGAAGGTCTAGAAACTTCCGAGCGTCATCTTACACATTTTTTAAAAATAGATTTTATTTATTTATTTTGAGAGAGAGAGGAAAGGAGAGAGAAGGAGAGGAAGAGAAACATCGGTTGCTCTCACATGCCCCCAACTGGGGACCTGTCCTGCAACCCAGGCATGTGCCCTGATTGGGAATCAAATGGGAGACCTTGTGATGCTGAATCCAGAGCCCCACCAGCCGGGCACCCACATTTTCAATTACACTACATATAGCATTTTCTACCATTAAACATGTCTATATAAGTACTTTACCATCTTGCCAGTCCTCATGGTTATTAATTTAAAGGTCCAGGCAGTTGTACAGTCAATTTTCCTGCATTTGAAAACGGAGATAAAAGTACCGGTACCTACCATATAGGGATTTTGTGAAGATTAAATGAGTTTAAACCAACAGTAGCTTTTGTTAATACCACAGCTATCTGTTTTCTGCTGAATTATTTCCCTAGGATAAATCCTGGGGGTGAGATTACTAGATAAAAATGAATCAAGACTTTTCACTTTTCCAGATTTCCTATTAAGTACTATATTTGCTTAAAACTTAAATGGTGTCAATTTAAGGAAAAACCCACTATAATGTGTTACAGAAATGCTATCACTAATTTTGTATTTCTTTAGGATTCTGGATAAACAATAAAAATAAATTTTAATGGTTTTAAAATAGGCCCCAAGCTATTTTTAGGATTCCTGATATGTAAGGCCATGCTGTTTTCCAAGACTGGCATCAATTTTAAACACTAGAGTCACGTCCTGTTTTCATCACAGCCTTGCCAGTAGTGCTATCAACAGCCTGTCCTCTGCTAGTCTTAGTAGGCATAAAATCTCAAGTCTGCTTTCTCCTTAAATTCATGTTTTTAAAATCATTACTCTGCAACCATTTTTGATGTGTTTATAGTTTGTATTGCATTGTTGGGAAAATTTGTGTTCACATCCTTCAGTTTATCTACTAGTTTTTCTTATAAAACTGAGCTATTTAATTTATTTGATTCTGCTGATCAGTGGCTTATTTTTAAAAATTACCTGACTGGTAACCATGCTCATCAGTCTGGAATTAGTTTTGGTAAAAGATGTGGCTATTGACATCATGCTCAAATTGCTATCCAGGTATACTGGTACCATGATTAAATATGTTTTGCCTGATGTATTTTGAATTAAAACTTTACTTTTTAAACTTAAAAAACTATTAAAAGGAGTGAAAAAATTTTAATGCTTTTTAAGTTGGGGAATGCCTAAGTCTGAGAATTTTCTATTCCTATCTTATTGCACACAGACTTTGTTTTTTGGAAGTGAGGTACAACAGAAACATATTAAATATAATGTAGTGAAAAGAACACTAGAATGAATGTGCATTTTTGGCCTAAATCTGCCTCAGACTTGGTATGTTACCCAAGACTAGTCCTTTAAGCTCCCTTTGATGAGTTTTCTCATTTGCTCTATCTTTACCTTGCTCAAAATCCTCCAGTAATTCCCTATCTCAGGATAAAAAGTCAATGGATCTTTAGAAGTACCTACAGGGTCTAGTAGGTATCCTTCCCCTAAATTCCTTATTACTATTCTTCCTCAGTTCGCTGAGCTCCAGGCACCCTGACCCCGAAAACATCAAACGGCTTCAGAGCCTTGGCGCCTGCTGGTCGTCAGCCTGGAATGCCCCTCCCAAAGATATCCACAAAGTCCTGCCATTCACCTCCTTCAAGTCTTCACCCAAATGTCATTTTTTTCAGTGAGACCTCTGAAATGGAACCACTCTTTTCTGCCCGCCCGCCCGCCCTCTTACAGCCTACATCACTATCTGACGCTGAACTTATTTTTCTCCTCTATCTGAATGTTAGGTCCTCACTGCTCTATCCACTGAACAATACCTGGCACATAGTGGGTGCTCAGTAAATATTTGTTGAATGGATAACCTAATCTGTAAAAACGAGACTATTGAGCCGGAGGGATCATCTATTAATAAAAAGTGAAGCCGTGTGCATCTTCTCAATTGTGCGCTGACTTAGCGCCCAGATTCCCGGCACTACCTGTCCGAGGAAGACCAGCTCTCCTTCGGAAGTATACTCACTTTGCAGGAGGCGGCGGCAGCGGTCTCTGGATCTCCTTCTTCATGTACCAGATCCAACAGCTGGAAGCCTGCGCCGTCGTCGGCTTCTAGGTTTTCCTGCAAGCTCTCGGACTCCAGGCCATCCGAGGAAATGCCCGAAGGTCGCCGTCTAGAGACCACCCTGTAGCGGCCCTCCTGCCGGATCTCCCGAAGCGATGAGCGGAGGCCGCGGCGGATACGCTGCTGGCTTCCCTGGGACGGGTGCAGAGCCGCGCGCAGGAGTGGCTGGACCGGGTCCTCCTAGAGGACAGTAGGAGAGGGGGGCGTAAGCAGGGGTTCGTATAGCGGTCAGCGATAGTTTCATCCTGGCTGCGCCCTAAGATTCCCTCCACTCCGTCTCCATCCCCACCAAGTACCTGGGAGCGCACGGTGGCCACCAACTGGAAGACATTATTCTCTGCCGCTCTCTCCAGACCCTCGGGGGTCGTCTTTTGGGCCTCTGACTCGACAGCGTCGCTCCGGAGGCGTTTACACGCGAGAACAAGAGCCTCAGCTGGCTCCGCGCTGCGCTTCCGCTTCACGCGGAGTACAGCTGTCCTGCCGGCCTCCATAGCGGCTGTCGCGAAGCACTGTGGGAACGCATGGGGCGCGATGGGAGAGCCTTTAAGTTCCGCTTCCGGGACCCGCCCCCGGCGCGCCCTGCTGGCGTAAAAGGTCCAGCCCCCTCACGCCTACAGCGACAATGTGGCTGTGGCGGCAGGAGTGAATAAAGTGCTATCCACGGCCGGTGAGGTGCTGGCCATGTTGGGTAGGTAGGATCGCTTTTGGAGTCTCGGATGCATTCAGCATCCTGTTCTCAGCTGCAGGCCTCCGGCGGCAGGGCCTGGCGTGGGCGTTCTCGGATGCTGGGAGACGCACTCTGCGGCACCCTCGAGGACCTTTCTAGAGTCCACATGAGGTGGCCCGGAGCGCCTGGGCCGTCGGTAGACCGGGGTTCCAGGCGGGCCCCGGCTCTGCAGTCCTCTCTGGTGATTGCCGCTTGTTGGGCCGATGGGTAGAGTATCTCCGCGGTGAAGTGGTTCACAGGACGTACCTGGAGTCTCCCCTCAGCGACAGAGCTTGTCATGTTGTTTCCATTCCCTGCTTATATATTACCACAGGAGTTGACAGGTCTTGGAGAATGAAGAGGGGGTCAGGCTATCTCCTGAATCTGGAGTGTGGTTCCCTTTTGAGAGAGGACAAGTCATAATAATAGATGAAGAGGTTTATCCAGAGAAGATGTATAGTGCCTCACCCAGAGAGGTTGTAGGACATGGTTCCCCTTCTCACGCATTCGTTTAGATTAGTATGAAGCCAGCGACGTATCCACTTGAAAAGTGGATACTGCTCTGAAAAGACAGTGCGATCCTGAGCATCATCACAGACCAAAAGGGAATTCCACAGGATGAGGGGTTCTAGACCCTCCAGAAGAGGGACCCAATCAACATGTTTGACTCCTTGTTGAGTTTAAATTAACTTAAGCTAAGCTGATTTGTCCACTGTGCGTGACAGTCTAAGTCTTTCTAATGTGATGAAGTGCTCTCTCCTTACGCCCACCTAAATCTTACCCATCTTCTAAGCCTTCCCTGAACATTCAGTGAGATGTGGTCATTTCTTTCTACCACAGCATTTGTTGGACACAGTTTTTAAAAGCATGTTACAGATTCAGGTAGTTCTAGATACTCTGCGTTTTTACCAGAAATAGTAGCATATGAGATGTAAAGAGCTAATTTAGCAGTGGTTTTCAAACTAGGTTGTAAACCATTTGTGAGTTATGAACTCAATTTAGTGGCTCATGATCAATTAAAAAATAAAATAGGATAAAGTATATGAGAGCCTTGCCCATAGGAAAGCTAAGTATGTACTGTTTTGTGAAACTTGTACGTTATATGTGCATGTGTGTATGTTTTGTCTCAGCAAAACATACATTTCTTACGGGGGTTGTCAGAAAGATTGAGAGTGCTGGATTAGAGAGTAGATAAACTGGGATTGTAGAAGTAGAGTTTTACTGAAAGACAGATTGACTACTTTGAACCAGACTAGTGACTGCCTGAGTCTTTTCAGAAAAGTGTTTCCCATATTCTGGTATAAGAATCAATGTTTACTTAGTCTAGATAATTTGAAAGGAAATTCAGTAACTCTTGCTAATAAAATGCCTCAGGAATATTTAGGGGACCTCCACAAAAAAATGATCAGATTTCTTGAAGATGGATCAGTGTTTAACAAGAAATGAAGGGGCATATGGAACACTTGCATTCTGAGTGGTAAGAGGGAGGCCACTGGGAGAACTCATTCCTGCTGAGAAGTGCCTTCCGACTTTGAGCTGTGGTGTTCCTCTGTCTCTCAGAAATAGACCTCTTTGGGGGGAAAGACCATGCAAGGCATTTTATCTGTCTGGTAGTGGCACTCTTATCTGAAGCAGAATTTTTTTTTTTTTTTAGATGAAGGTTTTTTGAAAACTGCTCTTAAAATTAAGTACTGGGTAGATAAGTAATTTTTATAAAAAATAATGACAATGTCATGAACACCTGTATTCCCACCACCCAATTTTAAGAAAAGAATATTACTTTTAAAGTCTCCTGTGTGGCTTTCCTTGATCTCATCTTTTTCCCTTTCTTCTTAGAGATAGCCACTACCCTATTCCCTGCTCTCTTTGTGTGTGAGTGAGTGTGTGTGTGTGTGTGTGTGTGTAAAGACTATTTTTAGAGAGGGGAAGGAAGGGGGAGAGGAAAGCCTCAATGTATGGTTGCCTCTTGAGTGCCCCCTACTGGGGAGGTGACCCACAATCCAGACATGTGCCCTTGCTGGGAATCAGACCCGTGACCCTTTGGTTCACAGGCAGGTGCTCAATCCACTGAGCCACACAAGGCAGGGCTCCTTGCTCTGTGTTTTCGTGTGATACGTGAATAATATATTCTGTTTTGCATAGTTACACATTTAATATAAATGTTACCTTATTATATGTATTCTGTGATTTGCTTTTGTGTGTGTGTGTGATTTGCTCCCCCCCACCCAACCTTTTATTCCTGGGATTATCCATGTTTGTGTATAGCTGTGACTTACTCGTTTAGATGTCAGTTTTCCTAATTTGTTTGAATTGCTCTATCTTTGTATTTTCTCTTAAACTAAGTGTTTAGTATCCCTAGGTAGTATTGGTGGCACGACTTTACCACCATCCCAATCTCTTTGTTCTTTCCTACTAGCCCTTTCATCTGCTTTATTTCCTTTCTCACCTGCCTTTATTTGAGGCTATTCCCAGATGTACCTTTGAAACCCATTTGACCCTTGTGCAATCACTGAGGACTGCTGAAGTTTCCTCATAGCTCTATGAACTTAAGTATTACAGTTTTTGATGTTGTATGTGCAATATAAAACCAGGTAACTTGCTGGAAAAATGAAAATATTCATTAACAAATATTTTTAGTGGCTTTGACCTTTTTTATCAATTTCTTTATTTCTTTTTTTCCTTTTGTTTTCTTGTCTTAACATTTTTTTTCTTTACATTATTGGGCATTATTATCTGATTAGATTTCTGACCATCTGACCTGTCCACAAGAAGTAAGCTGGCAAGTGATGAAACTGAGGAGCTGATTGGCACCATGAAAGTCTTTTGCGGGCGGGCCAATCCTACCACCGGATCTGTGGAGTGGCTGGAGGAGGATGAGAACTATGATTACCACCAAGAGATTGCCAGGTAATGAGGGTTTGTTCACTGTTGGCTGCAGCTGGGTGGGGCACTTGATCTCAAAGCAGATGCCTTGGGATCCAATCTGATTGTGTAATAAGATATCACCCAGTGCTTCTGGGTAGGTGTTAGTCCTGAGCAGGTATGCTCAGCCGGGTAGGTTTGTGTGAGAGTTAGGCTGAGTCATACCTGTGTGCGGGGGAGTCAGAGGATCTATGTAACGGAGCAAAGAAATCCCTAGGTTCAGTAATAGCAGTAGAGTTTATGAAAGTTAATCATTTACTTGAGTCACTTAAATGGTGACACACACTTCTCATATGGTTAAAATCTCCTGAAAAATTGAAAAATGCTTTTTTGCTGTGGCTGGTGTGGCTCAGCAGAGTAAGCCCTGACTTGCGAACCAAAAGGTCTCCAGTTCAATACCCAGTCGGGGCACATGCCTGGGTTGCAGCTGGGTTCCCGGTGGGGGGCACGTGAGAGGCAACCACACACCGATGTTTCCCTCCCTCTCTTTTTCCCTCCTTCCCCTTCTCTCTAAAAAAATAAATAAATAAATAAATAAATAAATAAATAAAGGTAAAAATGCAACTGAAATGCAAAAGATTTGTGCAGTGTGTGGAGAAGTTGCTGTGACTGATTGAACATGTCAAAAATGGCTTGCAAAGTTTTGTGCTGCACATTTTTCATTGGACGATGCTCCATGGTTGGTTAAATGAGTTGAAGTTGATAGTGATCAAATCAAGACAATAATTTAGAACAATCACCATTTTACCACGTGGCAGATAGCTGATACACTCAAAATATCCAAATCAATCAAGTTATTGGTGAAAATGAAAAATGTGTCTTTTATTTTACAGAAAAACTAAATGGGCTCTTTGGCCAACCCAGTAATAATAATATGTTTCAATGTAACATGTGTCTCATCATAATACCCATATCTTAATTTGATGCTTAAATGAAATACAGTATCTGGTACAGAGTAAGAACTCAAAAATATTTCTTTCTAAACATTTGGGACAATATTTTCTGAGTGATTGAGGTGTTAAACAGAAGATAAAAAGGATTAGTTCACATTTTGGAACAATCACTGAGAGCAGTGTGGAAAGTGAGTCGGAGGGAGCAGACCCTTTGGGTGGACATTACAACCCCAAAGCAAAGACAGTGGCGATGGGGAGAGGAGGAGACAACTTCGGGGGAGCTGGAGTTTGATAACTCATAGGATGCAGTGATGGAAGGAGAGAGAAAATTTAAGAAGCATTGAGATCTTTGGGTAGAGTGACCAGGTGGATGGAGCTGTTGTTTCCTGTGAGGAAGAACATAGGAGGAATTGGGTGTCCAGGAGATGCCAGTGGACAGATATGTAGATCTGGACGCAACTTGGAATTGCTAGAGTTGAAACAAGGCTCTCACAGATGGTGTGCAGTGAGAATGGTAGAAGGCTGAAGGAATCCTGGAATAGCTGAGGAGGCAGGAAACCAGGAGGGAATGGCCAGGTCACAGAAAGTAGAAAGTACGGACACAGGAAGAGGGAGTGTCCAACAGGGCCAGCGAAGTCCTAGATGTTAGCAATGGGAGTGAGCTGGTGGTGCTGGGGGAGAGTGATGTCAGTGGAGTGGTAGGGAGTGAGTGGGTGATGAGGCAGGGAAGATGGGGAGTGAAAGTGCCTCTTAAAAGGTGGAGAAACATATACAGGACCAGATTTCATCTAAATAATCATAGGAGGGTTCAGATGTAAAAACCTTGGCGTGCCATAAAAGAACCTTGTTCTTTTAGTGCAGTGCTTCTCAACGTGTGGCATACGGATTGCCTTTGTTGCAGTTGCCTGGAACACCGGTTCAGGTGCAGATTTCTAGACATCCAGCCTAATCTGGATCAGAATCTCTTTGTGTGTGCTGGGAATCTGCATTTAAAATAAGCTCTGCTGTGATTCTGATGTTGACCTGAAGCTGAAGGTCCCTCTGTTTAGCTGGAGTGCCTTACCTCACACCTGGAACTCTTAGAAAGTATCTTTGGGCTGGGCCTGCTGAATTCTGAGGACTCATCCTCACCCTGCTACAGGTTTTCAAATTTGGAAATTGCTATGGTTGAGAGAATGAATCATCAACTCTCCCATTAATACTCTGTAGTTTGGTAAACTCAGTTTTTCCTGATGACGAGTCATAAGAAAAAGTGCTGGGCACTTTCTCCTTAGCTTTACATGCATGATTATCTGAATGTACAGATATACGTAATATTATGTAAAGTATTAGACAAATTGAGTCTTGAGTTGCTGTGGGGGAAAAATGTATGATGTATAACATGATCAGTATGTTAGTGGCTTTGGAGTTACTGTGACAAGGCTAACTACTAGAGGATTCTTAGGTCTGAGGTTCTTTGCTGAAAATAAATATTTGCCTGAGATTTTTTATGTAGTACCAGAGAATTACAGCATACAGTTGTCAACATAAGAAATTCCAAACCTGTAGAGGATTTTTATAAGAGGCCAAACTGATGACATGTGCCAGGGAGCAAGATCTCAGATGCTCCAGAGAATAAGTTTTGCAGCTTCTTCTCTGCATTTGAAATTGAGGAGGGAAGGAAGATTACATGGAGGTGGGAAAAAGCAAGGTGTGAATTGGATTATACAATAGCTAAAAACCCCCTTTTTTGTCCACATAATTCTATTGAAATAGTTTAAAATCTGCCTGGGTGTTCCATCTGATTTAAGAATGCATTTATGTATATGTGAATATGCTCATATTGTTGGTGTTTGTAGAGGTTTCTGACCTGTCTTTTTGTTTTTTAGATCTTCTTATGCTGATATGCTGCATGACAAAGACAGAGTAAGTATTAAAGGAACCCATTATCTTGATGTGTGGTTTTGAAACCTTGTATTATAGATGGGTTAAAAACTCCCCCTGGCAGGGGGTGAGGGGGCGGGGTGGGGATGAAACTCCCAGGATGTTAGAATAATGCTGAGAGTCAGTATGGGGTAGTGGTTGGGAAATCAATCAGGAGGCTGTTCTAGCTCTGCTCTTGACCTAAGTGTGAACTTGGAGAAGCCAGGGGACCTCTGTGGTTTGTTAGGATTTAAAATAAGTGGGAAGTACTAGCTGATCTCTGTAATCTCCTGTAGATAAAAATTCTCTAATTACATGATATTACCTTGTATAGTCAGTTTGTAATTTAAAAATAAAATCCCTAGAGGTCACTGCAAACTGTATTTTGTAAAGCAAATTTGGCTTTCATTGCAGAATTACATTTCAGCTTTCCTCTTTTCTTCTTCTTTTATCTGAGTTTTCTTGTTTGAGTTATGGTGTTGTGAAGTTAGCAACCCAGAATTTCCTGGTCTACCAGAGTGCTTGACTAGTCGATCTTATCTGGATGGTTTGGAAGCTGGGAGGCTTGAAGGAGAAGGATGCAGGAGAGTTTAAAAACTGAGCAGTACAAGGCAGGAGAGGGATTAAGGCATGTGGTAGGGTTGGACATGAGGCTGTGCTGATGTCTCGTTCGCCCAGCCCTGGTTCACTGCTCAGCCTGTGTTGTGGAAACCCTGTGACAGAAAGACCTTCTTAAGCATCATTAGTGTGTAGGCACCAGGCGCCTCCCTCACTTTCAGTACATTCCTGAGTGCCTTTGATGAACCGTTGGGGGATTATAGAATGTGGAATGAACATCGTTCTTGGCTTTTGACTACTCTTCTCCAGCTCAAATGGTCGTAGTTTCTTATTAGACTCTTGGGGCTGTGAGACTCTTTGGTTTTGGTATTGTCTACAAAGAGGGTCCTTTTGTCCCAGCTTCTAGGGAATTTGGACAAATGGCATTGCCATCCATCCAGTCAGCCAAGCCAGAATGATGGCACCCTTTTTCTCATTTGAACCTGCAGTCTGTCGTCAAATTCTATGCATCTGTCAACCCAGCTGCCCTCTCAGCCCTCATTTACTGGTGTTGGACCCCTGTTCCTTCCTTTACACAGCAGCCCATGGTTTCCGCAGTGCCAGTCTGACCATGTTACTCTTCTGCTTTAACCTTTCAGTGGCCTCTCATTGCTTCTGGGATAAAATCCAAACTCTGCCGAACATTCGTAGCTCCTCATTATTTAACCCTTTAATTCCGCTCTTCCTCCCCAGTTCTACTTAAAGGCAATGGATCAGAACTTGCTGGTTAGTGGCAGAGTCAAGATAAACATACTTCTCTGTACTTGTGCATGGAGCCTTACATTTTGTTGTTGTTTTAGAATAACTGTCATCCCATAAAACTGTCTCATGCCTGTTTGCAGTCAGTCCCAGTGCCCACCCCAGCCAACCACTGATCTACTTTCTGTCTTTATCGTTTTGCCTTTTCTAGAAATTTCATATAAATGAACTTATTTGATATATACCTTAGGTGTCTGGTTTATTCTATCATACTTTTGAAGTTCATATTGAGTATGTATTAGTATTCATTCCTTTTTATTGCTGAGTAATATTCCATTATGTGGATATAAATACTGTAGTTTGTTTTTTCACTTACCAATTGATGGACACTTGGATTGTTTCCAGTTTTTGGCTATTTTGAATTTTGAATAGTTGTACTGTAAGCATTCACATAGAAGACTGTGTGGAAACATATTTTTATTTCTTTTGGGTAGATCTGTAAAAGTAGAATTGCTGGATCCATATGTTAAATGTGTATTTAACATTGTAGTTTTTATTTTCATTTTTCTAATGACTAATGGTGTCAAATATCTTTTTTTGTGGTTATTTGGCATCTGTATATCTTGGTGTAGTTTAGTTATGAACATAAGTAGACTCTTAATAGATGCTGCCCAGTTACTTTTTGAGAGGGTTCTGATTTCATTGTGGTTTCTTCAAAACCGGATAATTAAAAAGTATAGCTAATTTAATGGGTGTCATTAATTTGAAGGGAATGCTGACCCTGTTTTACTGCTCAGGATGCTGCAACTTGTTCCCCTTCCCTCCTCATATAGTTATCATTTTTGCTAAATCAGTATTCAGTGTTTCAGTAGACAAGTCACTTAAACTCTATACCTCTTTTCTCATCTGTAAAATAGGGATAACAATAGTACCGCCTGTTAAAGGTTTGGTATGAGGTAAGCACACTATAAGTGTGTGTGCTAGTTAAAATTGTATGTTTACTTTATTAGGACTATATAAACACTATTCACAGTTGAGCTATATGGTATACTCTAATTACTTTTCCTTTCTTGTGTAACTCTTGTTAATAATTACCTTATTTTTGTTTTGTTTTCTATTTACACATCATTCTTTTTTATTTAAGTCCTCAGCCTTTAAAAAAAAACTGATTTGAGAGAGAAAGAGGGAAGGTGGGGGGGGAGAGAGAGAGAAACATCGATTTATTGTTCCACTTGGTTGATTTTTGTGTGTGCCCTGACCGTGGGTCTAACTCACAACTTCGGCAAATTGGGACAATGCTCTAACCAATTGTGCTCTAACCAGTTGAGCTGTCTGTCCAGGGCTTACACAGGATTGTTCTATGCCCAAAGTTTCCCCAACTGTCTGAATTTCCATTCAGAAGGAAAGTCCAAACAATCAGCTATTCTGTCAGTTTATCTTCGGACCCACGTCCCTGGTGTCATTTTGATCTGCTCCAGTCTGGACCGGCTGCTCTCCAGACCTGCTGTGTGTCTGTCAGCCTGATATGCTTGTTTATTGTTCTGTAGATTTACATCACTTCTCTTTTGGTGTTGGACCCTCTGTTTCCTGTGTGGTTAACTCTCTTTTTGATGAAGCACACCCTTCCTCAGTTTCCTGTGAGAGGTGGGGGCAAGGGAGGTAAGGTTTTCAACATTTGCTTATCTAAAAACTTTTTTTGACCCTTACACTTAAGACTTAGGCTGAATGTGGATTCTTGTTTGGAAATCACTTCTCTTCAGAATTTTGACATTACTCCATTTTCTTGTAGAATTCAGTGTTGCTATTTCAAGGTCTGGTACCATTCTTATTTTTAAAAAAGTTTATATAATAAAGAGTGGAAATACGAAAGAGCATAAAATGTATATGTACAATTTAAAGAGTTACAATAAAATAAATGTTCATAGACTCACCACTCTGCTTAGGATAAAGAATGTTACCATTAATCAGAACTCCTCTATGTCCCCCTCAGTTGTGTTCCTATCCCTGCCTCGAATTTTTTACTATCTTCAGTTTTTTAATCAGTGACTGTCTTCACTTTTTTAAATTAGTCATTCCCTTGCTTTGCTTTATAGGTTTATCATCTACTATGTATTCTTAAAAAATAAATTGGTTATTTTGCCTGTTTTTGAACTTTATATAATGGAGCCATACTATATTTATTCTTTGTGACTTTGAGATTCATCCATTTTGCATGTAGCCGTGGTTTATTAATTTTCACTGCTGTGTGGATTCCATTGTGTGACTGCATCATTACTTACACATTCTTATGTTGATAGACTTTGGGGTGTTTCTGGCTTCTTGCTGCTTAAACATTTCAGTACATGCACTTTGGTGCACAAGCACACTTTCTTATAGGTTGCATATATTTAGGAATGGAACTACTGTCTATTAGGTGTGTTTATCTTGACCAGGTAATGCCAGATTGTTTTCCAAAGGGATCATCTAGTTTACATTCTCATTGCATGTGTTTGATAGTTCTTGATGGTCCACATCCTTAATCAGTATTTGGTATTAACCAGTTTTAACATTTTTGACAATCGGGTGGTTTTAAACTAATCAGTAGTTTTAACTTGCATTCCCCTGATTACTACTGAGTATGAACTCTTTTCACTTGTTTATTGGCTAGTCCTGTTTCCTCTTTTATGGCTTAGTATTATATAGGCATTCTTTATATATTCTGGGTAATAATCTTGTCAATTATATGTATTGCAGGTGTCTTCTCTTAGTTTGTGGGTTGTTTTTTCATCCCACAAGTTCTTTAATTTAATGCCAAACTTGTATTTCCTTTATACGGTGGTGCTTTTTGTGTCTTGTTTAAGAAACCCTTCCCTACCCTGGCTGGGTAGCTCAGTGAATTTAGAGCATGGTCCTAATATGCCAAGGTTGTGTGTTTGATCCCTGGTCAGGGCACATAGAAGAATCAACCAGTGAGTGCATAGATAAGTGGAACAACACATTGATGTCTCTCTCCCCCCACCCCTCAAAATCAAGAAATAAAATTTAATTTTTTTTTTTTTTTTTTTAGAGCCCTAGATGTCTCCTCGAGGAGACTCAGTACATAGATGAGATTTTCCTAGGCTCCCTGGGGAGCGAGCAGGGAGGGAGTCCTGGGTATTCCAGCTCCAGTAACAAAATTCCCCACAGGTCTGTGGAACTTAACCAGACAACTTTTCGCTTCTCTCCCTGTCTTTTAATAGAGGAAGAGCAACTTACAGCTGCTTGATTCCCTGACAGTTTCCTCTGGGTCCTTTCTTGACCTAGTACATTTCTGTCTCATCTATTATCTTTAATCCAAAGAAGGTTTTCGATGGTCTAAAGAACTAGCTAGTTCCACATCACCCATTCTCCCAAGGTCCTCAACCTGTGGTTCTTCGAACTCCAGGCCTTGCAGACAAGATATGCCATGGAGATGTGGATGAAGCTTCAGAGAATTCAGAATGAATTAAAAGTACAAGAGTTTATTTGGGGAACCTGGTGTGATCACTGTCTCCGATAGGGCAAGAAAATTGTGTGCATAAAGTTGTACACGTAGGTCAAGACCATTCTGTAAAGGACCTTAGTGGGGACTGAAGAATCACTGTCCTGAAGGGAGTCGAGGTGCTGGTGTGCATGCGTACCTATGAGCATGCAAGCTCTCGAGGGAAATGCTGCATCTCTCAACAAAACTGGCTATTAAGAAAGGATGG